ATGGCATTAAATACACAGTAGGTGCGTTTGTTATCACTGATTTGTCTCAAGGAGAAATTTTCATTGAAAAAATTAATCGAATTATTTCTATAAAAAAAAAAATTTTTTCTCTCTTTGTATGTATGAAGAAATAACGTTTGATTCACATTATTATGCTTACATTGTTAAGCGAATCAGTGAAGATGTTACTCTGAACTATGTTAATCTCCCGAAAATTGAACCACGTATATGTATAAGTAAAAAAAATTATATGTACGTTGCGTTTAAGTATGGATTATAATTCTATGAAATTTAATTTGTTTCCTATGAATGTAAATAATTATATTCAATAAATGCAAATACCAATGTATTTTTTTTTTTTTTAGTTTGGAGTTATATTGAGTGACTAATACTTTTTTGTTCAATCTACCTGCCGTTTTATAAGTTACGTAATTTTTTTTTTTTCCATATTATGTTTTTAGTAGTGGGTAGTATTTTATTGAGACACTTAAACCATGTAAGAAATTATATATCCTCAAAAACAATCTTTTTCACGAAAAAAGCAGCTAAAAGCATAAAATTTTTTAATTTCATAATATTCCTCCTTTTTTTACCTCTATTTGTTAGCACCAAGTATAAATTTAACACTTGTAGCAAAATTATACTTGTGCCGTAGTATGCACAGTGTGCATATTAAGTGATGATCTTGTAAAAAATCTTAGTAGGTACCATGTAAAACAAAACTAAGTGAGTATTACATTTTCATCTCCGCTTAAAAAAGTTTTTAGTTATATTATTTAGTTAAATACTCATGTGATTGTGCACACCCAAATTTTCATAAAAATTAGTCTGGGCAGTTTGCCTAGCAATCAAGTTAATATTTTCAATAGAGAAAGATTTTTCTAAGCATACCTAACGTAATATTTACAGTTTTTATATAAACATAAGATATAGTGCAAACAAGTATACCAAGTTCAGTTAAATGCTTTTTTTATGAAGGCGAGCGTAGATATTAAAAGGAAATTTAATGTACCAAAAACAAACCAAAAAACCATATCTTTCAATAATATTTGCTTGTTTGGCTCCATTTGCCAGAAGTACATACATCAATGACACATTCTAACTTGTTCTAATCAGTATTTACTGTAATAATTGAGGCTTTTTATCAGAAAAACTCAGACATTATAAATATATATATATATATATATATATATACACAAATCTATAGTCCATTTGCATATGGACAATCCCATATAGTAATACGTAGACTTTTTTATAAAGTTGGTTTGTTAACCCGTCTTCTGGACTACAGAATCAAGGCTCGAGGCTTTCACTACTGGGGGCTATTTCCCTCCAGTCGACTGGAAGAGATCTTCTTTGGCTTTCCTGAGCAGCCGCTACACTAAAGTAGCAAGTTTGCTGTACTACAGCTATGGTGGGGCGACTCTCTTGCTCCTAAAGGCGAGTCTCCTCCAAACTGCTCTCAGTGTACATTAGTAAAATTCAAGGAGAAGTGACTGTAGTATACATTCTTTGCAATGTAATAGCGCTTAATCTTTTGTCGAATGCTTTTATCAATAAACTGCTACTTATGCAATATTGTATAGAATACCACATTATTACAAAATCGAAATGGTATCAACAAACTTTTTCAGTAACATTTTTAAAGCGAGTATTTTGGAAATAACTGTATTACTGTTACTGTTCAAAATCGACTCGAGCTTCGGCGACTGTATTTTAATTATCTCGGCCTGATGGGAGAGGTAGAGAGGAGGTGAGATAAAATGCTTAAAACTTAACGCACAGCACATTCTGTTAACGATATGCTTTATATTAAATAAGTGACAAAAAAGAACTCTCTTTACTTAAAAAATTGATTGTATAATGGTCGCGCACTTAATATAAAGCAAGGTAAGTATACTCGCATGTAACATTAATTAAGTGTTGTATATTGCGAGACACGTGAATACGGTACATAAGACCACATTGTGACTTATCAAAACGGACGTACAATGTGAGTACACGAAGCGCAGCTATTGGCTACTTAGTATACGCGTCTGCGCTCCTTAGTGGTTTAAATGTGTTAAGGCACGGCACTTTAAGCAATAATATAAACAATAACTCATACGCATTAGTATAGAACTACTGGTGTTGCACATAGTCCCGAGGTTGACGGACATAAGTGCTAAAGAATGAACGTCAACGAAATTCAAGACGGGTAGATCGCTTTTTCACTTACAAAAATCAAATAAATGTAAATTATAGTAATTATGAAGTATAATTAATAAAAATTGGTCACAATGTAGTTGACTGGATGATTTTGAATTTACACAAGAAAAAAAAAATTATCAAAATGCTAAATAAAAAAAAGTTTGACCTTATCATTGAGCTGTCCTGACTTAAGCTCCGTCACGGTATGCAACAAAATTAATTTGTGTATAGATTTAAGAAAATAAAAATTAGCTGTTTTGATGTAGGTAACTTTGACAAGGGATTTGAAATCCTTAAAGACCTTAACAACTCTGTCCAATAGTTATTTTCCGGGTAAAGGCAACTCATTTTTTATGAGTACGAGATCACCAGGCCTCAGATCGTCACCCACGTGACGCCAGCATTCTATCGCTTCTTGGAAATGGATAAATAAAACATTAACGCGATTCCGATTTTTCTTTGCAGAGATTGACTCGGAAGTTAAGACAAATGATGAACTTGAATTCTTCAAATACAGACACCGTACTTCAGTACCATGCATCGCGTCTCAATCAAATCAAACCACGCAACTTGATGGGATATATCACATACCTCAAGAAACTTTCGGGTATTACGCTCAGCAGGAGTCAAATCCCTGTCACGATTCCAGATGCCTGCCCTTGATGACAGAGGAGACTTGGTGCTGGTGAAGTTTGCCAGCGGCGTAGTGTCTCCCGGCGATGACCCCTTTTCAGAGCTCTTCGCCTTGGTCCGCTCGATGCCGTCACTCATCTCGTGCCCTCGGCTTACTCGAGGGCTGATGTCGGTCTCACTGTCCTCACGGACATTGTCAGCCTCCGAAGGCGTCTTCTTGTCGGGATTCATCGCCATCCACACTGAACACGACACCTCAACAAAACTGCCGAGCACACTCTTTTCACTTATCGCGGTGGCGTTTTTTTTAAGTTAGCCTCGCGCACGTGGAAACAGGCTGGAGGCCATAAACTGTTGACAATTACGCGGGTGGGCAGAGTTTTGAGCGAGACATACGCGAAGTAAATGTAAAACAAGAATATAGAAATAAGTTTATTATTATTGAAAGATATTTAAAGGTATCGGGTAGTACAAGGAGCCGTAGGCTTCAACAACGAGAGCGCATCCATACAGCTCGAGTGGTCGAATTAGAATAAGGTAGTGCTGAGCAAAGAGAGGCTCTGCGACAGTATAAAATTAATATATATAGACACTATACAATGCATGTACGAGGAAGTCAGAGCCACTAATATTGTAACAATACTATTTGTGGTTGTTTTTTTAGTTTGAGGATGTAACGAAGTAACTTGAGGTGTGAAGGTTAAGAAAATTCCAAGTCGGGTAATGACTGACATCCTAGTGTATAAGAGCGTACACGCATAATCATTCATACCTTAACAGTTAATAAGATATTGCTAAACTTAGAAAAATTTTTTTACTTTTTTTTACTAAAAAATGAGACTTCGATTCTTACTTTTCGCTAAAATTACCTCTACATAAAATCTTTCGACAAAAAAAGTGGATCAGAAAGAGAAATTTTGGTGGGGAGTCATGGGAGGCTATCTAAAATACAAAAAAAAATTGAACATCAAATTACAGGTTTAAGCCACAGGTTTAAACGTATTTCGTAGGGTAAAACAGAAAGTTCAGAGATGTAGAAGGCTAAGAATAAATGATAGTTTTATAGGATGTAAGAATTAACAACTTTAAATGTGTAGTGTGTATTTTGTACCATAAGCACATTGTTTGTTAAAACTTTTGAATAAGCTGACTTTTTCAATGAATTTACATTACTTAAGTACCAAAGCAAGTCTACTACAATATGGGCTTAAAGTATTTGGTAGAGCATAATAAAAAATTTGAAAAAAAGATGTGATTAGAACGTCCCGTTTTTAATCGTAAGCAGGACTCCTGAAGTTATGGAGTGCGCAAATTTTATCCTGTGCTACAAGTGTCTAAAATAAAATGGCTAAAATTGTTGGCACAGCTACACTTAAGAGTCCTGCAGACGATCTAGGACATAGCGTTCTAATTTTGTCTCTTTTTTTTAATTTTCTCAAGTTCTTTGAGCCAAGGTTAAACTTGTTTGGATGAATAGGTAATCAGAGCTAATTAGAACATTAGTTCATTGAAAAGCTGTGAAAGGCCGTGTACTTAAGACACTAATTATACAGTGTTTAAAATTATAAAGAGCCTAAAGGTTTGTTTTACTTTTAAAAACTATACGTTTAATATAAAATGTATGACTTTATTGTAGATAAATTTACATTAAGAAGTTTTCTTTCTTCAATAATTCCGTAGAACAGCACTTCCAACCAAAACTCGCAAAACTTAAGTTCATTTGCTAAAAACGACATGACAGAGTTTTTATAGTTATAGTCTTTGCAAGAGGCTTTAATAAGTTGCATACCCCAACTACAAATTAAGGTATACATATTTATTTTCAATTACTCTAAGGTTATATTTGTAATGTAGATAGTGCTATTCGAAAGTTTTTTCCATAAGCTACAGAAGGCTTATATGAACTTCACCATGATAATAATGCAATTTTGGGCTCTATTTCTTAAATAGCAAATTTGATGTTAAATTTAAGATTTTTATAAAGTTACTAATATTATAGTGAGTAAGATAGCTCAATCTTAAATATTCTTCTTAAAATTGATTTAGTCTTTCGGAAATGTGCTTAGTTGTCAAAATACAATATTAATATGAGGCTTAATAAAATATATGCCTTTTAATCATGTTGACGTCAATAATTTTTTTTATTTAACATGAATAAATAGTTAAAATGTACAAACTTGTGCTATTGCCCATTTAACCATTGGTCCACATGCCATGCTGGCTCGATTAACTTTTTCAAAATTGTACTCAGGATTACATAAATATCTACTTTTCATTTTTTCTCGAACATCATCTCTGTAAAAGTTAATAAGAAATAAAATTAATCATAACTATATATTAATGTAAGTATATGCATGACAATCATGCCTAGACTATACTTATAATACTTGAAAACTAATGGTATACGGTGGCATGCTTTAATGGTCTTATTGTATGATAAACTAATCAAGATAATCTTAAAAAAATTAAATTTATAAATAAATTTATCATAGTAACTGAATAAAAATCTTCAGAAATTTGAATACTTAAAAATTAATTTTCTTATTGTTTCTTTTCAGTTTCAGGTCGGCAAAGTTTAATTCGCTATCAAGTATAGATGGTTTGAATGATAAAATCATTCATCGACGTTATTAACATAGTAAAGTGATAAGCATAGTTGATAATGCTAGTTTTAATTATTTAGTTGTACATGAAAAATCGTTACAAATGGATGTTTTATATAAATAATTGTATATATTTTTTAACGCATTCATTACACAGTTTTCAAAAATAAACTTAAAAAACTGGTTTGAGATCCACACCATTGCTTTTAGCTAGATTCTAACAAATTTTAAACACAAAATAATACTAACTATAGAATTGCTAAGCCATTTGCTCTATAAATATACACCTTAAAAAAGCCTTTACCACTACAGCTTCAAAATTCTTTCTTATTTAACATGATAACCCAATATCTTAAGAAAACTGATGCAAATTTTTTAAAAGTATGATATATTAACCTAAAGTTTTTTGAGTTGCAGAATCTAAATCTGTGGTTCATTTACACATCAAGCCCATTACAGCATAGTATTTCTACAACTAAAGATAAAAAAAAATCGAAATAAATAACAATAACTTTTTGATACATAAAATATTTGACAAAAAAAAAAAAGTCAATTAATATATTGACCAGACAACACTGAAACTGCACAATACCCTTCCTTTTATACCCCATGATCCTATAAATAATGTGACACTACAATCTTTTGAATTTGTTAAAAAAAGACTTTTTTTACAGAGAAAGATAAAAGTTATGTAATAATCATGATAGCAAGCCGATTACCTTGCTAGTTTTAACGGTTATTAGTACATGTACACGGATAGTCAGGGTGGTAAAGAGAACCCGTAATCGTCCATTATGTACTACGACCAACATTAGTGAATAACTTGGCTAGTGCTAAATTAAAAACACTGACAAACTCGCACTGTTTGTAGAAAGTACGTGGTACCAAAAGAAAAATTTTGAAAGTAATAAGCAATATAATAAAAAATCCATATGATAAAGAGTATTTTAGGTATAAGATATCAGATAAGATAATTAAGTAAGTACCAAACACCATTCTAAAAGACGCCTTGCGTAAATCACTAAATTTTTATTTTATTCCATTTTATATTTTATTTATTCCCTTAATGATAAAATTTTAAGACTCTTAAAAGAGTCATACTTAACGAAAGTGGTCACCTAACAAAGCTGACTGTGTACTTTGTGGCTCTTGGAAATGTCAAGTGACAACCGAAGCGAGCCACTAAGTCTAAACACGTGAAGCCAGCAAGTACCGACCCCATAGCAAGTAATACAAAGAAGTCTTAACTAAAGCTTTACGCAAGGTGAATTTCTTTGCGCGGCGTTTCAGTTAGTAGCTTGCCACTGCTCATTGAGTGTGGCCAAATTGTTTTCTTAAGTTTCTTTGCCAGAGGTGCCACTAGTCAGTTAATTATAGGTGGCCCAATATTGTTCTCATTAATGTTAATAAGTTGATATATAATTATAGATACGTGTTATAAAAGTTAAATAAATATATAGAAAATAAAAGTTTAAATTTAATAAGCTAATAACAGGAAATAGTAAGAGCGGCGTTGGCTCAGTGGTTAGTGTGTATATCGACGCCCCGGGCGAAGACTATGCCCTGTTTCGAAGCCTGGACGAAGACTATGCCCTTTTCTCGCGCCCAGACGAAAACTATGCCATTTTCTCGAGTCCAGACAAAAACTATGCCATTTTTTTATAGTCTGTGTGAAGATTATTACATTTTTTCCGAGTCTGAATGAAGATATTGACTTAATCTGGAGCCCGGATGAAATACAATTCATTCAAGCTCACCTTACATTTGTGTTTGTAATTAAATGTATAGTCAAATATACTTATATAGTCGTTGTTGTTTACATTTATATAAATAGTTGTAAATAATAATACACCATTATAAAAGGGAGTCATGGGAGGCTATCTAAAATACAAAAAAAAATTGAACATCAAATTACAGGTTTAAGCCACAGGTTTAAACGTATTTCGTAGGGTAAAACAGAAAGTTCAGAGATGTAGAAGGCTAAGAATAAATGATAGTTTTATAGGATGTAAGAATTAACAACTTTAAATGTGTAGTGTGTATTTTGTACCATAAGCACATTGTTTGTTAAAACTTTTGAATAAGCTGACTTTTTCAATGAATTTACATTACNAAGTATTTTTTAACACACGAATAAATTAGCAAGTTTAAATTAATTACAGTTATTGTTGTATATAATTTACATAATCTTTAAAAAAAAAGCTCAAAAACACCTTTTTTCAAACACTTACCAAAACTCCAAATACTTAAGCCATTAGACCTGCTAAGAATAATCATAACATGTTTTTTTACAAAGGCGTCTGTAGATTCACGTACATGTGAATCTCGATGTAAAGATACAACTTGTATCGATATAAATGTATACACAAGTATCGAGAAATCTGAAAATGTTAAATCGTTTTCAGAAGCTTCGTATTCGTGAGCTTCTTCCAGCGTACTAGTAGCTAGTAGAGGGTTTAGTAAATAATATTGGGGTGTTTTTTAATTTAGTTTTCGTCTGGACGCAAGAAAAAGATATATTTTTAGCCCAGACTCAGAAAAAAAGGCATAGTTTTCGTCCGGACTAGAAAAAAGAGCATAGTTTTCGTCCGGGCTTGAGAAAAGGGCAAAGTCTTGGCCCAGGCTCGAATAAAACGGGCGTAAGGACCACTCCCCTAGAAGACAAAAAGGCATAAGAGGAGAGAGAAGAAGGAAAATAACGGAGAATTTCGGAGGCCGACTCGATTTCGAAGAGATGAGGGGAGGGGGCACTTACGCATCTGGGCGAAGAAAAAATTCTGCTTATTTCCCTTCATAGCGACACTATTTAGAATTGCATTTCAGAAAACTCTTAAAGATGTTTTTAGTATGCATATGTGCTATACAAAGGCAACAGCTTGTATTTTTACATACGTACTCTGTCATCTCATCTGTAGCTAATTACATGCATTTGGGGATATTTCCCTCGTAACGTCTCAAAATTCATCACAATTCTTAATTACCTAATGTGTTACATTACTTCACATTTTAAAATTATTTGATGGTATGAAATACTTATTCATAATTTATTCTTTATAAAATTGCTAATCATAAAACAACGTGACTTGCCTTACTATTATTCGTTATTCAGATAATCACAAGTATGATGGTTAACTAATCTATACTAGAATTTATATAAGATAAATTTAAGCCAACTAATTCTTAAACACGCTTTTTTTTTCTTTTTTTTTGAAGTTACTGTACTTCTATACGCGCGTTCTACCCTACGGAGTAAATCAACGATTTCAGATTGGTGACCTTGAGAAAAAGTGTAACGAAAGTGGATTTTACTCGATTTTCCCCCTTCACCCCGCCCCTCTTGACGTACTTCCGGTCTCTCTACACCACCTAACGTCTTATATCATCATCGCACCACACTACACAACAACATCGCACCACACCACACCACATATTTTGAATTTTGCTATTTTTGTTCTTTTAACCAATTTCTAAAAAAAAAAAAAAAAAAGTTTTTAAAGAGATTCGAGCCTCGCCCTATTGCACACCGGGCAATTCCTTAACCATCTCTGCTATGAGCGAGCCCGGCATAGGAAAAATGATAACTTTATTTTATTTCATAGTTCGTAACTTATTTTCAACGTTAATTTTGATTTCTTGTGGATGTATTCATTTGGTTTTATTTTACACTGAATAAACATATTATTAAATAAAAAATGAATATGAAATATAAATATTTTTTGGTACATGACTTTTTCAAAAATTTAGAACATTTACTTACTCATTATCAATTTGTTACTTTCAAAATAAATAAATTATTGTTTATACAATTTTTTCACATTTTTTCTAAACTTCATGATAAAAAAAAAACATTTCCGTACTGTATAAATACAATAATTGATTTTTATTGCGTTTTCTTCTTTCAAAATTTTTTTTTTGTAATCAAGAACAAAATTCAGAGAGGTGGGAGGACCACGAATGTATGCTGCATCGCTGAAAATTATTTTTCTCTTCAGGACGAACTTACATACACGCTGTTACGCAAACTTGGCTCCTGTTTTTTTTGTGTTGATAATAAAAAAAAAAGAAAAAAAAAATTACCGATCTATTTGAATATAAAACAGATTACTTAAGGGACCATTGTACGCACGCTATTGGTTACAAAATACCAAAGTTAATTGCTAGCGCGCGAATATATAAATTCTATGTAGTTAATGTTTGTAATACTAATTTGATGTTGAACATACTACCCAGGTTGATGGACAGCAGTCAGTACGAATGTACATCAAAGAAAGAGAAAAATAAATAAAATTAACAAAGTATAACGTATAAATGGAAATTTGAAAATATTAATGTAGACCGCTTCTCTACTTACAAGGATAATTATATAATAATAATATGAACAAAATTTTAAATTGGGCTTCATTACTAGGTATTACATTTAAAAATTTAATCAATTCAAACTAATGTGATCCCTTTTTTTTATATAATCAACATTAAATTCTTGTTCTAAGATCCTATTCTAAGTAATTGGCGTCAATTCAGAGCTAGTTTTCAGCAGAATTAATTTGTGAATGGGTCTAACTAAGACAGTACTGCTGGTCCTAACCCTTACAACTCTGACTAGAGAGTTCGGGTCTTTAAAAATCTCTATGATTCGACCTAAAGGCCACTTGCCAGGTAAAGTCAACTCATTTTTTATAAGGATCCAATCTC